CATCTATGAAACAAGGAAGTGGATAGGCTGTGAAAACCACTGTCATTGACAAGGGACCCCGACTTGGGGCTGTAAGACACAAGTCTCACCTACAAACATCATCACTACCATCACCATCATCACCACCACCACCAGCATCACCAGCATCACCACCAGCATCACCACCACCATCATCATCACCAGCATCAAAGTACTACCATCACCACCAGCATCACCACCACCATCATCATCACCACCATTGGCATTGTTATCATCACCATCATCAGTATTTCTTTCTCCTACACGATAATCCAGACGTGTTTACTGACTCCCTGCAAATGTACCGGGAAGCTGGCCAGGATATGGAAACCTTGAGATCTTCAGAAGAACAACCTCAGCTCTGAGCCCAGCACAACCCACCAATTACTCTGTCCCTCCTCTTGCCCACCTAGTACTGAGCATGGGGTCCTTGTAAACCCTGCTTGCTCAGTTGTTCGGAGCTGGCGCTTGTCTGCAGCCACTGCTTTCGCTCCAGCTGGCATGTCCCCAGCCCCACTATCAGAACCATGGGGACCAGTCCCCATTTCCCTTTGGGTGAGCTGGGGCTTCGTGGTCCTCACCTCCCTTTCATGTTTTAACCCTCCTGAGAGGATTAGTACCCAAGAAGCAAATACTAGTATTATGCCTCTTTACAATGAAGAACCTGGCTTGGAAAGGCTGGGTTCCTTGTCCAAGGGCGCGCAGCTGAGAAGTGGAGAAGCTAGTATCAGAGCCCTCAGTATGTTCCCCTCCCCACCTGTTACAGCCCTTCTCTGTACCCTTGTGTCTTTCCAGGCCAGCACTGTCTAGTAAAACATAATGTGAGCTCTAGATGGAAGTTTACTTTTTCTAGCAGCCACACTAAAAAAGTAAAGGTGAAATTTATTCTAATGATATATTATGTTTAACAATATATTAAGGGTATTATTTCAACACTGAGTCAAGAAAAAAAATAATAATGAGAACTTTACATTCTTGTATTCACATTAAACCATTGAAATCCAGTGTGTATTTTACTCTTACAGCGCAGCTGGGAGCAGCTGCATTTCAGGTGCTCAGGAGCCTCACGTAGCAAGTGGCTACTAATTGGACGATGCTGGTCTAGAGTCTAATGATGCTGCCTGCCTTGTAGGTGTGTGGTTTTCAAGTGAATCAGTATATGCAGATGCTCCGGACACTGTGTCCAGAACAGAGCGCTGAATCAGTGTTAGCCTTCATTGTAGTCCACGCTCCTGGGAGAGAGGGCGCTCCATAGGAGGTGCTGGATGAATGACCAGTGCGCCGAAGCCCCGCCCCAGACATCCGCAGTGCTGTGCGGTTCTCTGGTGAGCCTCCCTACCTTGCTCTGCTTCCTGGGCTGTGGCTGGCATCCCCCCAGCTCCTCCCGGGATCCCACCCTGGACCATTGCTGGCTCGCCTCCCTGCTCCCATATGGAACCCACCATGTGTGTGGCAGCCCCTCCCAGCCGCTCAGAGAGATGGCAAAAGTTCCTGGAAGGAATTCCAGGGTTTCTGTTTGGATAAAGACAGCCACCTGGCATTCAGCTCCTTTGCTGGCAAGGGGCAAGGGGCCTTTTCTAAAACCACAGGAGGTGAATCTGCTGATGTCTGGAGGTACTGCCCCGTCCATGGTCAGGATCTGGTTTCCCAAGGAGCACCGCTCCCGTGCCCATTCCAGAGGGCGAGCCTTCACCGAGGGCCGGGCCCAGGTGGGAAGTGCCCGTCCAAGTCGAGCTCTCGCCAGCATCCTGGACAAACGTGGCAGGAGAGGCCCGGAACTGGGCACAGAATCTCCAAGTTGCTGGAAGAGGCTCTGAGCAGGGAGCTGGTGGTGCGGGGCCTGGGGTGAGGGGGCGGTGCTGGCTCAGATCCCCACTACGGACAGGAGGTATGAAACAGCCATGTCGTTTACGGTCCTGCCGTCTTTTACAAGGGATGTGCCTCGTGCCTGGGGTCACATTATTCTGCAGTTGGTCCAAGGAGCTGAGAATGAGTTTGCGTTTCACACCCAGCATGGGCATCGCCTCCTGCTCACACACACCAGGGGGATTTACACGTTCAGACAAGCCATGATCACTCACATATCCTTATACACCTGTGCGCACCCAGACTCTTTGCTGCGGGAGAAGGGATGCGGGTCCCAGCCGTGTACCGACTACCAGGCGCCTAGTGTGTGCCTCGGCATTTATCAGCACAGCGTTGTTTACCAGTCCCGCGCTTCTGAGAGGCTTCCCTCAAGCAGTCCCATGCTCACTCCTCAGCAGCAGGGAGCCTGGTGGGGCTGAGGTCATCAGCCCCGATGAACAAGAGGGGACATGGAGGTCTGAGCGGTTAGGGGACTTGCTGAAGCTGGCCCAGCCAGTGGCAGAGCCTGCACCCTGCCTCCTTCTCCTGGATGGCATCACACCTGCTGCCTCTCATCCCAACACATGAGTGGCTGTCACCTGCCTCCCCAGCCTGGAAGCTCTGCAGGGGCACAGACCCTGTACAAGCATGTGGATCAGAGAGCCAGGAGGCTGCATTGTTGAGAGCGGGACCTAGGTTCAAATGTCACCTCCACTGATTACTAGCTGTGTGACCTCAGGCACATTACTTAACCTCTCTGAGCTTCAGTTTTTGCATCTACAAAGGAAGATAATTACATCTGCTTAATAGGATTGCTGAGGATTTAGGAGATGCTTAAGAACTGTTAATAAATGTCCTCTGGATAAACTGAGGAAGTTATGTGTGTAAATATACAGCTTTTGGCACAGTGCTTGGCAGTGCCCACCAAATGCTTTTTTCTTCACATGTGGCGGGCACTCAGTGCAGGTAAAAGGAAGACAAGAGCGATGAGACCGGGGACCAGGTCCTGTCTGAGGCACGCCTCTATCTTGCATCACAGCCCTGGAGGTGCTTGGCTATGCCTCTGGGCTCCTGGATTTCTCTCTTCCTGGGTTGGCGTCCTCCTCCTTCAGTTACAGGACCTTCCGATAATGTTTTACTGTCTGATAAGGCAAGTCCTCTCCACAGCTAGACTTCCTCGAAGCCCTCTTGACGATTCTAAGACACTTTTCCTTCCATATGAACATCTATAATCATTTTTCCCAGTAAATTCCCGGTGGGACCCTGCACAGACTCATGCTCTGTTTATGTGTAAGTTTGGGGCGGACGGCCACGTATGGAATTTGGCTTTAAAGCAACGTGTGGGTCGCCGTTTGTCCCCCAGTTCTCACTGGGGGCGTTATGGCTCTGTCCGGGGAGCTCCTGAATTGGAGAACAGTGTTGGGAGTAGTGTGGGTCCCCAGAGAAGGTCCCCAGGCAGGGGCCGCACAGAAGAGAGGTAACTCGTCTCCTCCCAGAAGCCTTCCTTCCATCTGGCTGCCTGGGTCCGGCTGGGCTCCCAGCTCCTGTGCTGCGTGTCCCCTTAGCTGAGCCTGGGGGCCTGTAACCCCTCTTCCCTGGAGCCTCTGAGGTGGTAAGCGGGGTTCCCGTGCACTTGGACCCCTCACATACTTATCTCCTCCTCTTCCTCTCTGACCTCGCTACCTGACCCCTCTGACTGCTTCTCCACCCACCCCCGGTCCTCCCAGACATAGCAACCCTGAAATAAAGGCTGATTTGGCACCTCCTGGTTGCTCCAGTCTGTAGGAAAGCTCTGGGAGAAAGCGGGACTCGGCAGAATAAGATTTGCACCCTCCCACTTACTAACTCTGAGACCCTGGGCAAGCCCCTTACTTGCCTTGTCTCCATTTCTTTCATTTGTAAAGTGGAATATCCTTTTTTCGGGGGAGGGAGTAGGATGGTTCTGCACCAACTGTGGGCAGGAGCCATGCCAGATACGGAGGACTTAACAGCAAGTCACACAGACACACTCCCTGCCCTCATTACAGACTACCGCGCTTGGTGGAATGTCCCTCACCCCGCTCCTACGTACAAGCATCTGGCCTGTGGTCAGCCATCAGCTCTCAGCCTCAGATCTGAGTGAGTCAGAACCAGCATCTTTGAGCTCACAGGCAAGTAGCTTATCCCTTGAGCCTCAGTTTCCTCATCCATCAATGGGACACATGGATCCCAGAGAACGCTGTCAGTGTGAGTGGGTAGCAAACTCCCCCTTGCCATCCTCCCTCTGTCTCGCGGCCTCACTACTGGCAGCAGTCCCCGGCCCAGGCTGTGGGATCTTGGGTCCAGAAGCTCTTCCCAGCTGCCCACCTCCTGCCCGCCCTGTGCCCGCTCCACACGGGGAGCCAACAGGCTGGCTCTGGGCTGCCACGTGTCTCGCTCCCTGGCTTCTTGGAGGTGCCGACCTACCTCCCTTCCCCTCGGTGCGCCCTGGGATGGAGTTCGGAGAGACAGAACACCCAGGGCGCCCCGAGACAGCGGGCTTCTTATGCAGGACCGGAATGTGCACGCTTCCTAAACTGCAGAGGGCTGTGTAAGGCCAAGGCGGCAGCAGCTGGGGTTAGAGACTTGCCACAAGTATTGTTTGCTCAAGTGACTGCTTTTGTTGAAAGGTGGCATTTTTCCTTCCAAGTTTTCTTGGAGTTTTCCGTCTCCCCTCCCTGTAGCATCTCCAACACTTCGCAACTTGTTTTCCAAGCTCAAGAACTCTAGAAGTCTCCTAACAACAGTCTTCCTCACTTTATGCTGCTCAGAGAAGGTGAGTAACTAGCCCAAGGTCACACAGCCTGTCTGGGAAGACCTAGGCCCAGAGTCAAAGCCTGCTGACTCCCAGTTCCTCCGGGCACCCCTTTCTGCCAAGTTCCCAGTGGGACAAAAGGACGTGGGAGTGCTGTTTGTTTAGTTTCCCCAGCTGCTGGCCCTGCCTCCTAACCCACTCAGGATCAGCTGTCCCCAGCAGCCCTACTCCTCATTCTGGGCCTCGCCCTTGCCCCTCAGTGGGCACCTCCCTGCCCTGCAGCATGCTGGCCCTTCTCATCCTGCCCACCCAGGCAGCAGGACCAGGTGGGACCCCTCTCTGCACCCCTCCGGGCAGGACTCACCGTGGCCAGGGCGCTGCCCACTGCTGCTGTCACTGCTGCCAGCGTCCAGGGCAGGAGCCACCTCATGCCTGGAAGTCAGTGGCAAAGGCATCTACGGAGCAGCCCAGAGGATCCAGCCACCTCTCGGGGGAGCGGGGCCGAGACTGACCCGGCCCATCAGGAGCGCCAGATACGCCTCTCCCCGCGGCTCTTGGGGGGTTTTATTAAAGCAAGATCTGACGTCAGGGTTAAGGACAAACCCTGCATTTTCCTCTGAGAAAAAACTTCTCCTGCCCCTCTCTCTCTCTTTTTTTTTCTTTCTTCCCTCTGTCCCCACCTCCAGCCCAAGCTTGGCTGGCCTCCCCGGCTCTGACAGCTCTTAAAGGGAAAGCTACAGGGCTGTGATTTCACACCGGGCGGTGAGCTCTGGCAGAAGGCGCTGGGGTCACCCTGCCTGGGCATTTCTCAAAGCTGGGGTGGGGGTGGGGGAGGGTGGGAGTGGAGGCCGGGGAGATACAGTTACAGGGCTGCCTCTGGCGGGGGCTTTGGAAGTGCTCCCAGCGGGAAAAGTAAGCTCCCTCCCATGCCCTCAGGCCGCTCGACTTCTGGTTTGCGTTTGCCACCGCTCACTCCTCTCTCTGGCTGGAAGCGAGGGAGGATGGCTTTCAGTCTGCGGACGTAGCAGCGGCAGGAACTGGCAAACGCAACTCAGGGCTGGGACTCTGGTTGCCATTGTCAGCCCCGCTACAGACCGAAGCCCTGGTTTCCAGTGTGTGGACCTTCCTCCCCTGCTCTCTAGCCTGAAGACAGCTTTGGGGCTGAGCTATCTACCCATCTCTGGGCCCTTGTTGTCTTTGGTGGGATTCAGGTGCCTGGTTTTCACCCCCGCTGGACCCCGGCCACACTGGTGAGGGGGTCTCCTTTGCAGCCTGCTTTGCTCTCATCCAGCCCCTTCATCCCTGCGTGGACCTCAGCCATAGCGTCCTGACTGGTCCCCTAGCCTCCCCTCTGCGTTACTGCCCACACTTCTCAGGGCCACTAGAATGATCCTTGGGGAGTGGAACTGGGGTGATGGTGCACTCCTGGGTCCAGCCTCCCAAAGTCCACCTGCTGACTTAGCATGGACTCCCCAGTCCTGCTGTGGCCTCTGAGGCCAGCTGCCTCCCCAATCATTCCTCTTTCCACTCTCCCCTCCTGCACAACCCTTGGCCTCGAGGGCCTCCTTGCTGTTCCCCGCACACCCTAGCAGGTCCCATCTCTGGGCCTCAGCGGAAACTCTCCCCCTGTGGTTTTCATAAGAGTTAGTCCTTCTCTTCTCTTTTCCTGGAATGTAGGCAAGGGGGCTGCTGGAGCATGCATGGCTGCTTATAGGTGGCAGTAGGCTTGTGGCTGTGGAAGGAGTTTCTGACCATGGATGTGACCCCACAAGAGGTGACTCCGAGGAGCTCTCCATTCATTGACCTAAGGGTGGGCCTCTCACCCAATTCTAGCCAACAAGACATAAAGAGAAATCTGCCAGGGCTCCCAGAAAGGATTCCATTCCTCGAGAGGAGGAAAAAAAAAATTCTCTGTCCATTCTCATCTCCCTTTGTGGGCAAAGTTGAGGGCTGGTGCTGCAGCAGTCACTTTGGGTGTATAAGGTACAAGCTGGAGAATGAAAAGCCTACATGCTGAGGATGCTAGAGCAGAAGGAGGGAAACAGCCTTGGTTCTCGGACCTTCGAGTGTTACTGAACCAAACCTGGACCTTCAGACTTTTGGCGCGTGAACTAATTTGATGACATCCCCTAAGTCGTAGGTGAAGAGTAATTTGCTCCTTGGAGTCAAATGCAGCCTATTTAACATGGGATTCATAGAAATTGTGTATGTAAAGAGGCAGTGAGGCAGATGCTTCAGTGCTGCCTGTTGGACCCCTTCCCTGGGTCAGTCACCCGCTGTGTGACCTTGGAGAAGTCACATAACCTCTCTGTGTGCTGGTTTCTTTTGTCTCTAAAATGGGAATGAGAGGTAACTGATCACTCTGAACTGCTCCTGGCACAGGGTAAGTGCCGTGGAAGGACGTATTAAATATGCTTAGCTCGTAATAAATGCTCAGTAAAACCCCTGGCCCATGGTGAATATTCCTGCTTGGACTCTGCGTGGGAGTGCTTCAAGGGCAGGTTCTGGACTGGGCCATTTCTCTGCCCAGTATCCCGACTTGACACACAGCAAGCACTTAGGATGTGTGTGGGGACAGACAGGGCGCTTGGGTGGGGACCATGTGAGGGCTCGGGCCTCCCTCCCCTCGGGTCTGTGCCTCCCACTCCCGCCTCTCCCGCCCCGGGTCCCCGCCTCCAGCTGTTTGTGGGTTCTCCCTCAGTCTGAGCGCAGCTTCCCAGCGGTTTCTCTAACAGACCTCCCCGAGCAGCTGTAAATAAATTCCAAAGAGGGGCTGGTGGAGGGGGTTCAAGAACAGAGCCCAGTTGAGAGCATTCCTATGCCAGACAGTAAGGCCTCCTTGACCAGAGCCAGATGCACAGAGGATTCCAGAGACTCTCTGGACCAGGCGTCCAGAGGCCCCGGATCTGCTCACAGCCTATTCGTGTGTCATTTATTGGTCCCACAGATGTGCACGCGCCCACACAGCACAGGCGGCACGGTGCCAGTTCCCAGGGCTACTCAGACACCCCCTCCCCGCCCCCGGCCGAGTCAGGGGTGCAGAGACCAGGGCTGAACCAGCCCGGATGCTGCAGGCAGTGGAGGAGGTGGGGCTGGTCCGCTCTGCCCTCCGCCTCCCTGTCTGCCTGGCTCAGTGGTGCAGGTGCGGCTCTGCCTCTCTTCCTGGAGCTTCAGCAGGAATGGAGGCACCCATGAAGGGTGACCCTGGTCTCCAGGTCTGCCTAGAGGCCAGTGGGTCAAGGTCACTGTCCCACATGCCCCAGTCTCAACAGCTAGGTCTGCTCTGGGAGGGTCACTGGGCAGCCCCTGGCCGGCCCCTTTGATTGCTACTCATTTCTATGACTGCCCTGGGCAGAAACTCACCTCTGGCACCAGCCTGGGCTCCCCATTTCTCACCTGGGAAGGTGGAAGAGAAGGGCAAGGGTTTCAGAATCAGGCAGACCTGCGTCAGAGTCTCGCTTTGTTATGTACAAGCTGGGAGACCTTGGGGAAGCCACGTCACCTCTCTGAGCCTCAGTCTTCCTATCGGTAAAAAGGGGGTGATGCTTATAGCTGCCTCCCAGTGTGGAGCTGGAGGTGGACCTAGGGCTCAGCGTGGGGTGGATGCTGAATAAATGGCGGCATTCACACCCCTCTTTGCTCTTCATCACAGATATTCTTCCCTTGTCCCCCGCCCCGGGGTCTCCTCTCCGCTCAGCATGGCTGAGATTGGTACACAGTGCCCCCTGTTCTTCTCTGCCCCGTCTCTTCCAGTAAAACCTCCCAGTCCTCCCAGTCCTCAGGGCAAGTGATTCTGCTGGTCTTTTTGATGAAACCTATTGGAAGGGGCGGGGTGTGCTGAGGAGGAAAGAGAAAGAAATCCAGTGAGACAGCGGTGGCAGGGCCAGCCTGGCCTGACCCTCTCCCTGAAGGTCCTGGCAGCAGCCCGGGGCTCCTCCCCTAGAGGGGAGGCAGGGTCATCTCACTGAGTGCCCCTTCAGGACCCGATGCAAATTCTCCCCGAACTCTCCCACCCAGAGACCCCTTCCCAGCCCAGAACCGCAGGGTGTCTTGGGGCCCCTGGCTTGGCGTATCTGGGTGTCTCTGGGCTTTCCAGACCAGGGCTCCGCAGGGAACTGCCTGCCCCACGGGCCGTCCCTACAACAGGCAGATGCTTAAGTTCATTCTTTTAAAAACTATTTAATGAGGTATAATGCACAGGAAATTCACAAATCTTAAGTGTGAAGATTGACAAATTTTACATGTGAATTTGGAGCACTCCCATGGACTCCTCGCCCAGACCAAGGTAGGGGGGTTCCTCATACCCTCTCCCCGGTTCATGCTCACCCCCGGAAGTCACAATTATGGCCTCTGTCCTCAGAGACTCACTTTGTTCTGGAGTGGCACACGTGGAGGCGTCCGGATCCTGCCCTTTTGCCTTTGGTTCTGAGTCTGTGTCTGTGGGAATCGCCACGTGAGTCTGCAGGGTCGTGGATCTGTGGTGTCCCTGTTATCCAGTTCTGGGTGATGAGGCCACAGACCCAGGCCTTCAGGCTCCCCCTGTCCTCTGCCAGAGGGGACCCAGCTGGGACTCTGCCTCTGGTCCGGAGTCCGCCTTTCACTCCCGTTGCCCCTGACCTGGGCTCCAGCCACAAGGATTTCTGGCCAGAAGCAAGGCTCTGCCGTGGGTGGCGGCAGGGACACAAGGCCACAAGACACCCTGGTCATCTCTATGCCCCCTGGGAGCTGGCCCTGGGCCGGGCACTCAGCAGTCACTCAATAGGCATTAGTTATAAAAATAAAGCTGCGTCGCCTTCTTATAAAGGAGCAGTGCCATCTACTTCCTGGGGTTTTTGTGAGCATCAAATCTCTCAGGTCTGAGACAGGAGCTGACACAGGCCACTTCTGTGTGCTGGGTCCTCTTCTAAGCCCCTTCCATGGTTGCTTTTTTTTTTCCCCAAGATTTTAATTTTTAGAGCAGTTATAGGGTTAAAACAAAATCAAGAGGAAGGCACAGAAATTTCCTATAAACCCATTTCCCTCACACATGCATAGCCTCCCCTATTAGAAAGATCACTCACCAGAATGGTACTTTTTTTTTAACCAAGAATGAACCAACATTCACGATTCAGTATCATTATCACCCAGAATCCAAAGTTAGGTTCACTCCTGGTGTTGTGCATTCAGTGGGTTTGGACAAATGTATAATGACGTGTACCCGCCATCAATAGAATGGTCCAGAGTGGTTTCATTGCCCTAAAAATCCTCTGCGCCCCATCTGTTCATCCTCTCTCCCTGCCAGCCCCTGGCAACCCTGGATCTTCTTATTGTCTCCATGGTTCTGTCTTTTCTGGAATGTTATATGGTTGAAATCTCATAGTATGTAGACTGTTCAGATTCGTTCCCATCCCTTAGTAATATACATTTTCGTTTCCTCCTTTGTCTTTAATGACTTGATAGCTCATTTCTTTTTGGTGCTGAATAATATTCCATTGTTTGGATGCACCACAGTTTATTCGTCCATTCACCCACTGAAGGACATCTCGGTTTCTTCCAGTTGTAGGTAATTGTGCATAAAGCTGTACTGCACATTGTGGGCAGGGTTTTGTGTGGCTGTAACTTTTCAACTCATTTGAGTAAATACCAAGGGGCACCAGGGCTGGATTGTACTTAAGAGCAT